AGAAATTTTAAATTTCCATCAGCTGTTTATTACATATATTCAATCGCCTCATTTCACGTGAAAAAGACATCTAGGAAAACGCTGAGCTTCGAGAAACAGCTAAGTTAAGGCTTATGTATTTACCATGCTTAAATAATTATAATCAGGGCCACTCGTTTAGGAGACCGTTTTTCAGAAGATCCAGGCGTTAAAATAATTCTGTTTTCTGTTCGAAGTGTTTTTTCCTATTTTATTTAACAAATGAACTCGGGATGAAAACTTAACTTTCGAAGCGAACGGCAGATGAAATGTTGTGTTGGTGTCATATAAGCGGCCATAGTTAGTGGCTATACGGGAGCCAATGACCATAAAGGCTTGGCCAGACCTACGAATACGAACAGGCGAAATTGCGGAAAATTTTAAAAATTTTTGGGGCAAGGTGGGAGAATTCATTTGGGGACCACGGTTTTGGTTTTCTTTTTTCGTCACGCAGCAAGTTACAAAACTTAAATATAATTCTTTTTAGTGCCTTTCCAGATGCCACCGATGCCTTTTCCGATACCTCTATTGTTTATTACAGCAGTAAAAGATATATGTGCCATCAACACTTTTGAAAAATTGCTTAACATTTTATTTAGCGAAGTATACTGTTGATAGTTCGTCTTTACAACACTATTGTTTTCCGCAACTATAACTGATATGTCTCTATACGAATTACTTAATTTGTTTCTCCGCTGGCCACTCGTATTTCGGTCTTTTCTTCATCCCCCACTCATCGCCCGGTCAGCATTAGATTCCATCCACCAAAACCACCTCGGTCGAGAGGGACTGAGATGGAATATTTAATAACTTGCAAAACATAACCGAAGATTCTCGGAAATCCGCAATTGATGTAGCCGAACATCAAAAGCTGTAAATCCCATGATTCTTGAGGAACAAACAGAAACAGCATAGCGAGAATTTTAAGTCGCGAACCATTGATGGTAGACATGCAGATAATTTAGGATACGTAAATTCTGTTGATGAGGCGCATAAACTTATTGCGGAATTTGAAACAGGATTGACGACGAAGTTTTCTTTCTTTAAAGCTGTCAAAGGTTTCGGGAACACACATATATATTGATATAGCTCTTTAGCATTACAAAGCTTTGCTATCGCTATTGTGCATTCTCACTAGTTTATCTAGTTCGAGTCCTCTGGCATGGCTTGGATGATACCACAATTGTGGAATCATTCGGGTTAATTTAATGCTTACACCTCCTTCCTCGGACAGAAGTCACAAAATACTGGGGGAAGATGCATGAGATATTTAAGGAGCAAAAATTCGTTTTTTACTGGTGTGCCTTTCCTAATTTTGGGAAGGAAAGTGTTCAATTGCCAGCACGGCATAGATAGAATAGCTGTAGAGAAAAGGAAACGAAAAGATGAAGAAGAAGTACTGTATATAATAATTTCTTTTTATCCTCAACCTTTGTGTTTCTGTCAACTATGGCTTGCTAATTCGAAAGGTCAAATACTTGAATGGGTCATATGACATTGATCTCAGAATACTTTTATGACAAACGCGATAACAGTTCAATCTTGGCTAAATTGAAGATGGTTTAGAAGTTAACAATTATAAGAACTTTTCACTAACATATGCTGCTGACAAAGGAGAAAATATATGCAATTCTGCATTTTTTGCTTTCTATCAAGCAATCATATGTTTGCTCCTTATCACGCTATGACACTTCCGTTTTGTCACATTCCAAAAAATAACTTGAGGAATACACTGTCACTCATCTTACACTGTTATATTTACCTATTACAGAAGGCTGGAAACAAAGATTTTGTTTTCAAGAAAATAAGATTTCTTGTCCAAGACACAAGGAAGTTTGACTGCAAAGCACAGATAAAAATGCAAGAAATTTTTTTTTCAGAGAACAAGGTAGTTCTACTCATGTATAAACAGAACAAATGTGATTTAATAAATCAGATATGCGGCATGACTCCTTTTCTTCCATCCCCACTCAAAACAAGCAAACACACCTATAGAGGTTCCAGTCTGGTCTGCAAATGAAAAGGAGGAAGGTGATCACTGCAAAATTAAGCATTAGGGTTCTTATTTATAACGTATTGATTATTGTATACTGATATCTAGAAATTAAAGTTGCAAGTAGCAGCCAGCTGAGTTATAGTTTGAGTTTTATGAAGTCCATTACTTTGTTAAATTTAGAGTAACCTTGTCTTGAGAGAGGAAATTGAGGAGCTGTAATATACTTATCATCAATTAGGGACCACAAAGAAAATTTTATTTATAGAGACTTTTGAAGGAGAGGGGTAAGACTTGTGACAAGCTGGCAGACATATAGATAAACTTTACTGCTAAATGGGTTACAATACAAAGTGCTCAGTATTTGGATCAGCTATGGCTCAACTTAAACTTTGCTTTAGCTTCAAGTTTAATCCTTTGTGGTTTCCTTTCTCTGTGTTTATTTTTCACGTTATGTACACAGAAGAACACAAAAATGACAAAGAATGCTTTTGAATATTAAGAGGCTGGAATAAGCAAGAAACCAAAACTGAATTTTAAACAGTACAAGTTAATTTGATCTTCCAATGTTATTTAATTTTAACCATTAATAGAATTTGCTATTTAAATTTATCCCCTCCATTTTTCTGGATATTGTGAGCAAAAACAAACAATTATCACAAAATGCATGGTATACAATGGTTTGATTCACCAATGTGGCAAAGGCCTTTCACTGTCTATCCATAAAAAGGGAAATAGTTTGTAAAATGTAAGACATTCTGCATCTTGAGCGTATACTTATTCATCCATGTGAAATTAAAGGTTACTTGAAATAAATGTAAAAGATTTATAGGATTTTCAGACCCCTGATAACAATTACTAATGTGCTGATTTGTTGTACTTAAAGGTTATGATTTTAGCGGAAATAGTGGAAGAAATTTCTGGAACTGGAATTTTGTTGCAAATGTCTGTTTAAATCAGTTTAAGTCAGTTAAAAACTCTCCTGTTTCAAGATTACATGATTACCACACCAGAACCTTTTGTATTCTATATAATTTGTGCACCAAGTTATGATAATGGTTTCGATAATAAAAGGTGCTGACTCAAGAACTTTGCAAAATATCTCTACATACAAAGAAATAGATTGTGGTTATGTACTCCAAATAGCAGGTCACATCAGTCTTCTGTAAGGAAGTAGCAGAAATTGCTATGGTGGTTTTGGTGGATGGAGAGAAACATCCACCAAAACCACTTTATTCTATGTGTTAAGAGTTATGATAATCATTATGAACGTTTGGTCGGTCAGCAATTGTGCACCATAAAAAATAATTAGCCAGAGCACTAACTGCTAATTAGTGGTATAAATCTTTTGTCTCCCTAAACATCTAACAGTGGCTATAGATTAAATTTAAAAAATATATTGTTGATGGTTTTGGTCAAAGTTTTGGTGGATGTTCCCTAATGACATCCACCAAAAGGGGCTGTCCTGGTGTACCGGTACACGGGGGAATTCCTATTGTTTTCATATCCATACATGGAGTTGTGACGCAGTTCGTTAATGTTTCGTTTCTTTGTGTACCGGTACACGAGGACACAGGGAGTTACTACATCACGGGCGACGAGCGAGGATAGAAAAAACGACCCAAATATGAGCGGTCAGCGGTGAAACAGCTTTTATACTTCATATAGAGACATATAATTTGTTGTTCCAGAGACAATCGTGTTGTAAAGCCGAAATGTTAACAGTTTACTTCACAGTTTAAGAAATTTTTCAAAAGTGTTGATTGAACTCATATCTTTTACTGCTTTAATAAACAATGGAGGCTTCGGAGAGGGAGTCAGTGGCATTCGGAAAGGCATCAAGAATAATTATATATATGGTTTGTAGCTAGCTGCGTGACGTGCGTGACGAAAAAAAAGTATCATAATTTCCGGTTGATCCATCCAGAGGTTGCGAAAAGAAATATAAACTTTAACAGTGCAATAGTGGGATTTCATTTGATGCCTTTCCCGGTGTCACCAATGCCTTCTCCGATGCTTCCGTTGGTTAATAGAGCATTAAAAGTATTGTTCCAGTTAAAGCTTGAGGAAAATTGTTTAACTTTTTAAGTAGCGAAGTGTAACTTGGTAACATTTCGGCTTTACAACACGATTGTTTTCTGCAACTACAAAACGTACATTTAATTCTTCTTGGTACCTTTCGGATGCCACCGATGCCTTCATTGTTTATTAAAGCAGTAAAAGATATATGTACAATCAACACTTTTGAATTGCTTAACATTTTATTTAGCGAAGTAAACTGTTTACACTTCGGCTTTACAACACGATTGTTTCCTGATACTACAAATGATCTGTCTATATATGAATTATTAAAGTTGTTTTACCGCTGACCACTCGTATTTGGGTCGTTTTTTCTATCCCCGCTCGTCGCCCGTGATGTAGTAACTCCCGAGGACCACAACCCACCAAAACTACGTAACATCTGGGCACCTTTTAAATACGTGAAATATCTGCATAAAATTGCGTAAAATGTTTTATAATACTACAATCGAACAATAAATTAATACTTACCATTTCTTGAGTAAAAAGTTTTGACGCAATTTCCCAAACAAATGATACACTTAGGTCATCGGGATAAGTCGGCATGTTGTCGTAGCTTCGTAATTTTCATTTAGTATAACAAGTCATGAGTTGTCCATCATTCCATCTCAGTCCCTCTCGACCAAGGTGGTTTTGGTGGATGGAATCTAATGCTGACCTCATCGCCCGTGATGTAGTAATAGTAGCTCATCACAACTCCCGTTGTGATTGGTGAAATCGGTAATTACACTGTTGTTCTGATTTTCTGTGAACTTACACCTTTTCTCTCGACCGAGCTGCATGATTGAAGATCAAGGCGCAAGGAAGGAGCGTCAAAGAAATAGAGGAACTTATCCTGCTTTTACTGCAAGGGTTTTAGTACAATAATATTTTCTGCTTAGTTCCTTGAACTGTAAAACAACGTCTCGACATGAGCACCGTTTCACCAGCTTCTCTTGAGGAAATATGCCTGAGCTTTATCAGTGCTAACATTGAAGATTTATGCCATAGGGATGTTGAAGATGTCCAGTATAGCGAGGTTTCTTTTCAAAAACTTAGTTTCATTTCTCCGTTATTTCTCCACGAACACCTGGCAGACAATATTATGAGATGTCTCTCCCGTGATGGAAACCTGACAGATAGGACTGCATCTTTATTTGTTGATCCGCGCAGATGTAGAATCAGAAATTTCAATCTCAGGAAATGTCAGTTGAGTTTTTCAGTGCTGAAACTACTCCTTGGAAAACACAGAGTTGAGAAACTAGACTTAACTGAAACAAAAAAGTTCTCCTCGTCTTTATTTTTTCAACTGCTGAATGGAATGTCATTGACAGTAAGGGAGTTAAATTTGAGTTGCACATCATTTGTCTTGGACTTTGCTGCCATGAAGCCACTAAACTGTTTGACTCATTTGGATGTGAGCCATTGCACTCCTATAAACGACCACTTGATGTCGGTTGCTGCACAGAATATGGATTGTTTACAACACATTAATATCTCTAACACTGCAATAAGACATGTCTCTTCATTTGGGAAACTAAGAGGTCAACTGAAAACATTAATCGCTTTTAACACACCAGTAGCATGGACAAGACCTGCTGAGTTTAAGGACTTTACATTATTGCAGAAGCTTGATATTTCAAGAAGTTTTGTGAATGATTTGCACTACGATGAGACAATCGAGTCTGTGAAATTTGATGAAATGCTTACAGACCAATGTATGATGCCAAAACTGGTTTCTCTGGATGTTTCAGGTCTTTCCACAATAACAGCAGATGCTTTGCAGTCATTTCTTTGTTCTCATCCTAAACTTGAGTTCCTTGGCCTTTGCTATATGCCACCAAATTTACAAGAACAACTGGAAAGAATTTCTCCTCTTATTAAGGTAGAAGTATCATAATAATATAATAAACTAATGATATGTAACAGTGAAAAAAATGTTATTGTTTTCAACCAGAATGGTGAAAACCCTCCAAGTTTGTTGTGGATGTTTCTGATTTTCATAAAATGCTTTCAGAGTTCGATATTGTTGAGGGACTTGATTTGAAGTCTTAACTCAAACCTAATGGCTCATTTTGCTGCAGCTCATCCCGGTTTACTTAACATGAAGTGACTTAGAGTGTTACTATACTCCCTCCTTGGATAGGATCCCAGTCCATCACAAGATTACCCCCAACAATCATCAGGTTCTTTTGAAAGTGTCGTACTATAGTTAGTCACACTACACTCATGTGCAGGAAGAATTTTTATTGCTGCCAACATAAGGGATATGTGACTTGGCTGTGTAATACTTTGTGTAATTTTCTGAAATCTTTTATCCATCAACTGCTCATTATAAGCTTCTCCTAATACTATTTCCATTATAAAAGTCAACAATCAAATAAAATGTGGCTTATCTTTCATCAGATTACAGGTAGAGCTACTGAAAAACAGATCCTTTATTCATTGCAAATGTACCCAGACAGAGCTGATTACATGAAAGAAGCTCTGCTTGGATTGTTTCGCATCAGCAATGATTGGACAGCAAGAAAACCACATTTTCTCGAGGTATACTATGAAATGGCTCATTTAATAAACTTAGGGTTCACTGAGGTCCTTTGAGCTCTAGGAGTGATCATCTCATAGAGAAAGAAATTTTAAACCTATATTCATTTTAAACAACAGTTTCTGATTTATAACCACAGGAATGTGAATGTTTAACCTTACTGACATAACAACCACAAGCAGGTTATTCATTAAGCTTAGAAACTGCAGAATTCCTTACCTATAGTGCAGAATTCTCTAACTACAGTTCAAAGGCCAAAGGAATATTGTTTTCATTCCTACTGCTACATTTCTTATGAAAACCCTGCAGAAGTGAAAAAAATTCATTTGAGAATGTTGTTTCTTAATATTTTTACTTGTCAAAGGGAAAACTCTTGCCTATGTGATATTTTGAAAGCCTTAGGGTTTTAAATTAATCTAATTCTTTTTAATTCCATTCACACAGCTTGTTCTCACTCCAATGGAAAAACATCTGGATGTTGTCATCATTCAAAGAGTAGCTACGTTAGTTAATATTCACAAAGATTGATAATATTCATAAAGATGTATAGTTAGGATAATCATTCAAAATAAAACAATTTTGTTTTTTATAGAAACAAATTTTAAAAACATTTTGATTATTATTTTTAGAACAAAGTTTTGACCCTATTATGTAAAGATTACAATTTATTAACATTTTTTGGATGTTCTTTTGAATTCAGAGCTTGCGTATATAACATTCTCATAGCAAGAGGAGGGGAAGCAGACCCAGAAGTGCATCCTCATTTGTTAAGGTAAAATTATTACTGAATACATGATTAAATATGTTTAAAACACTTCCAAAGTGGTATTAGAGGGCTGGTGTTGTCAAGCAACAAAACATAGCAATAGGTGTCTTGGCAACCACACCTATCAACACAACACAAAAAATACCAGTGTGTTAAATGGTAAATTACTCAAAAGTTGGCAGTTGGGAGTGGGGGGGAGGGGGGGGGGAGGGAGGAGGAGGAAGGGGAGAAGTGCAAACCTTCCATGCCCCCTGTTACATGTCCTTGGTTAAACCACTGCCTTGGCAACCTGAGGTAAAAAAGTAGTTAATTTTTACTTTTATTATTTGATTGGTTAAAAATTAGCAATTAGTCAGAATCTTTTAAAGTTAACATGCTCTTTGTGCAAGTTATTCCCCTAACTTGCTTACTCTGACAACAGAATGATATTCAATATGATTATTTTTAGTTATATCTTCTGTTGGATTTTTCAGTAAAGTTGCATCTTTGGTTCTATCAGCAATGAGAACCTTTCCAGAAGAGCATCCGGTAGGAATTTGTTGTATTTATAATAAATGAATCAAGACAAACAGTTATGTAATCTATCATTAAAGACTCTCCATTATGTTTTGATTCTGCTTGATCTTATGACAAAATGACAGAACAATGAAACATCAGAAAATAATCAGAGCAGAATTAATGTATTCATCATTTGAGCACAAGGAACAGACAGGAAATTCTTATATAGCCTCATGCCAATATTTCCCAGGTCTGCCTAATCTAACTCAATCACTCAGTGTTTGTCATGAGCACTGCCCCTTTTTCTTTCTTTCCATAGCTTATGCGGAACTGTATGTTCATTTTGAGGTCAAAACAAGTTGTCACAAAAGCAGTAAGTAGAAATGATTCAAATATTGTATATTATCTCCAGCGCATTGAAGGAATATTGGCTCTAGAATATAGGCTGAAAATTCAGTGCAGTAATTGTCATGAGATGTATGTCACCAATCAGGGTTGGAAACCAATAACTTGATTTTTACTTTGCAGACATTCAACTATTTTGAAGCATCATGCTTGGCTATGGATGCTCTGCGTAATTTCCATGGTAACCAGGATATTTCTCCGCTGGCTATACAGCTATGTGGATTACTGTGTCGTAAGGTATCACAGTACAATACACACAAATCCTAAAAAAATTGCACTTTTAGATAGATTCTTTGCTCAATTCGACACTCAAATAAAAGTAGGAGAAGCACTCATTACTTAAAATGTCTGCAGATACTAATTCAAGGGGAAATGCTAATAAAAGTTTGGATCAATGCCAGAATTTGAGCAATTACACAACTACCCCTCCTCAAACCCAACATGAACTTGACTTGTCATCAGTTGGCTGTTGGTGGTTAGGGGAGGGGTAGGTGTGTAATTGCTCAGATACTGACATTGACCCAAAATTTCATTAGCATTTCCCCTTGAATTTGTACCTGCAGACATTTTGAATAATAATTGCTTCTCCTGCTTGAATATGCACTTCCTCCTTTCCTTCCCCCCCTCTCTCTCTCTCTCTTTCTTTCTTTTTATTGTTAAGTTTCCTTGTTCACTCAATCAGTTAACTCTTTCATTCTCAGAAGTGATTATCATATAACTTCTTCCTATAATATCCATACATTATCCAGCAAACAGATAATGAGAGTACTCAAACTTATCTGGTAGAAGTTCTTTATATTGATCTAGCACCAAATTCCTGCATCTAATTTACAAGGAAATGTGTAGCAGCCAAAAGGGAGAATTAACAATCAGATCTTTGAGTCTGCAAAGACATGCATGTCTAGACAATTATTTTAATTACTAAAACTATTAACTTGAGTGGTTCCCTGCTGTAATTTGAAGTATCTGGGTTACTAATTAAAGGCTTTTCTAATTCCACACCTGTGCAGCTGACTGAGCAAGAAAAACTTGCTCTTGGCTCAGAGAAAAACATTATGGTAAGAGATGTAACATATTAATCAATAAAAATCAATTCTAAATTCATTTAATTAGCAATTGTTATTAATCAAAGCAGCATTTTTTGGCATTTCGTAGAAAAGGTTGTGGTTACTCATTGTGGTGAATAACAATAAAAGCTAAGTTTTTCATTTGTCTCACAATGTAGTTACGTGTGATGTAGATCGTGAGTGGTCATGCGTGATCTTATAAAGCATGATGCTCTGCTGTGATTGGTTGTTTTTCAACAGCTCTGATTGGCGCATTTTGATCCTTGCTGATCACTCAGTGATTTGCTCCCTCGGCGGTCCGCTGTTGCACGGCTCTCCTGTTGTTGTGTTTTTTGATCATGGACTTCCACGCTTCTGGAATTTCTATTCCACTATCCCTGTTGATGTCGTTAGGGTGAAGTCTTGTGTGAATTGCCTCTTTGACCTTGTGCATGTAGTAATAAGGGTCACGATCAATAAACTTTACTTTGTTCCAGAGTGGCTTGTGTCCAGTGTTGTGGGCATGCTCTGAAACGTGTAGTGTAGTAGTGTACAGGTATAGATCAGATAAAATTTACTTTCAATATATCAACTATGTCTTTACTAATCAATTCATTTTAAAAATACAGACCGTGTTTTATATTATTCAAGAAAAGATCAGTGCAAGGCAGGTATGGATCAGATAAAATTTACAAATGATTTCGTACTACAGATGTCATTTGTTTTAATGGAACAAGCAGATTAAAGAAAGGTTAGGTTAGGCCTTGTGTGCTGGGTCATCACCATTATGGTTTGATGTGCTGTATGATACTGTTGTGTTGCCTTTGAGCAGAATTATCTTTCAGTTCAACGTTTTCATCATTGATTGATTGATGCAGTCTTTTTTTTTTCTAGGAGGATCTCACATTGAGTGCAGCACTTACTGTTCTATGGAACTTAACTGGTATGCAATGTTTTAATATCTTTGCAAAATTGTACTTTGAAAAGAGATTTATGAAGAAAAAAGTTTGCATTTAAATAACTTTTCAATGTGGTGTGACAGGAATGGTACATTCTGTTTAGGTCTTTGAGTGATGCATGTAGCTGGTTGAGCTAAACTCAGGGTAATTTAGGAATGTCTTGTCATTTGTTATGATGAAGGGCTAATGCTTTATGGTGGCCAATCTACATTATCATTCTGTTGGAATAGTAAATTACCACAGTTTGTTTAGAAACTTACCCCCTTCGCTTTCAAGAGCTAAACTCAGTTTCCAGCCCAAGAAGTGATCAGGAGACTGGTTTTCCAAGTAGATAGGATGTTAGCTCATTGCAAGTCACCCACTAACCCCACCCTCCCCTGCCATTTTGTCAGCTTTTTCTGACAGTTTTCCCAAGGCATTATGATATGAGAGGTAAGTGTCTTTCCCCAGAATACAATACAATGACCCTTACTGGAGTTCAGTAAACCAGGAGTAAGGCTATTTCCATGAGCTGTCCAGATAAAAAAAATTTCTCTCTGTCATTCACAGATGAGATACCCAGCACTTGCTCTCTGTTTGTTGAGAAAGGAGGTTTCAAACTGATGGTGCAAGGCCTGAGGGTATACAAGAACATTATTTTCTAGAAACTGTCAAATAAACTCAAACAAACTGCTAGGAGGCAGAGTGGCAGAGTGGTTAGGGTGCTGGACTTGTAATCTGGTGGTCCTGGGTGTAAGTCCCCTTCCCTGTCATTCATTGGATTTGTTCTCAGTCACCCCAAGTTGAACTCCTCAACTGCACTGTGTCACTGCTAGGAGGCAGAGTGGCAGAGTGGTTAGGGTGCTGGACTTGTAATCTGGTGGTCCTGGGTGTAAGTCCCCTTCCCTGTCATTCATTGGATTTGTTCTCAGTCACCCCAAGTTGAACTCCTCAACTGCACTGTGTAAATAGCCAACTGGTCAGCCTCCTGGCAGTCATAGAAGAGCACTATTAGATAGCGATAGAAATAGCTTAATATTGTCAACCATACAGTGTCAAACAGCAACAGCACAACAGAGTTTGAGTGTTGTTAAGTAAATATGTTTAAGATTTCACAGCTCCCACACACCCAGCATCAACAAAACTGGGATCAGACAGGATGAGATCATGGACTGGATCACGGATCAGGTCATGGATCACATCAAGGATCGAAAAAAAAAAATACTTAGAGTATAAGATTAAAAAACTTAAAATATGTCAATTGAAATTAGAAATGTTGCATGACAAGCACCAAAATTAAGTCTGCCTGGTCCCACTGGAAGTTCGTGTTTGTAATCCAATCCAGTCCAATCGAGATTTTGTTGATGCCACCACACACTTACCCAGGTGCTAACCATAGATATAGTGTTGCCAAATTTAGTATGGTCTTACTTCTTAATGGTGCAGCTACAGTCAACAATGTTATGTTTAATCTGGTACATTATAAAATCAACTCTAGGTGTTCAGAGAAGGAAGCAATGTCAATATCAAAAAGAAGTTTCTTATAGCACTGGTAAGCCACTTAGAAAAGCCTATCAAGCACAGGTCTACCACAAGGCTAAACAATCGTACACCAAGTTCAACACTGACTCTAAAGTCATTGTGTATATGGTTTCCAGAGATCAGATTTAAGTCTTCTGTGATGGACAGTTAAAAAAAGATAGAAATGGGGAGCTCAATATCATGCACCAGGAAAGAAAAAAGGCAATGACAGAGCATTTAACAACATTTCATGCCTTAGTTAATCTCATTTTAACTTAGGAACCTAAGCAATAACAAATGAATAACTACAAAATCTGAACAATTACAAACAGGAATCAGTCAACAGCCCAAAGCAATTAAATTCATTTTGATCCTCCTTATTTTGTTTCAGAACATTATAGCTGAGATTCCAAATCTGAGGCACTTACTCATCACAGATGAATTGATGAATCTTACTGGGTAAAGTCTTTTTCTGTTTGACAAATAAGTTTTTTTTTTTTTTTAGTTAGGGATATTGAGTTTGTTTGCATCAAATTTAGGCAGCTTTGAATCTACAGGTCATTCAAGTGATTTTTCAAAGCTTTGCAACAAGATCAAATTCAACAAGTGAGACCAAAAGGCACATGAAGCTAATTAAAAATTAAGCTAATATTAAGTGTTTTAAGAGCATGAGGCTGTAGTGCTGCTATGTTGACATTTTTAATCAAGAAATGTTTTAACTTGTGGAAAAGTATTTAGTCCAGAACATTTAATCAAAATTGTTCTTTGAGGAAATAAATGAAAATGTGTTTGTTATTAATCCAACAAATGATAATTATTATTAATAAATAAAAAAAACAGTCTTCAGCCATGGACCTAATGTGAAGCTTAATTCTTGTCTTGCGTAGGTCTCTCCTGGATGATGGGCTTCTCCAGTTGTCCTATTTTTGTGGTGGAATTTTGTCCAACATTATGCTGGAGTGGTCTGATGATAGAAAGCTACAGTCATACAGCAAACAGTTTTTACTTGATAAGCTGGTAGATATTAGTCGTCTTACTTTGGGGCATGGTTGCAAATTAACTATTAATAGTAGGCTTTGAATACTCTTCTGTAACAAATTCATCTTTGGGTTGACATTTTTTCATTGTTTTTTTTTCTAAATATAAGGCAAAGTATTATTGACATTTGGAAATCAGAAAATTATACCATCAGTCCCATGTACAAGTAAATCTGGATGTCATTTCTGTAAAAGTGAAGAGATTTTGTACATTTTGTTGTGATACAAACATTTTTAAAATTGTGAGTCCATTTAAGTGACTTCACTTCTTGAGCGGGGACTAGAATGGAGCAATTGAAATTAGGGAAATGGGGGTGGGGACATGATCTAAAAACAAGGCCTCTAGGTGTAAAATTTTTTGCACTCAAATATCTCAGGTTCAAAAATTTGCCCCCACCCCTCACCTCTCTTAACCCTCAACACCCTAACATCATTATGCATATTCTCCATACTGTTCTCCATAAATTTCTTAAGGTGCTAGAAGGAGAACTTGTCTAATAATCAAGAGCCTCTTTAATTGGTGATCAGTTCCTTTATTCTTGTGACCTTAATGTGTGATTGGGAGGAAATATTGTAAGGAGAAATTAGATGATAGTCACTCTTGTGACAGCAACAGTGTTGAGGTAAAAATGTTGCATTTTTCTCTTTATCAGGAACAAGCTGTGAACCGATGGGAATTTCCTGCAGACCAGTTTGTTACTTATAAGTTTGTATATCTTTTTGCAAGGTTATCTTTATCAAGTACTGGTTATTTTTTTATCTTTTCATGAATAGAACAAACACAACAAAATTGTATGAGCCACAGGGCAAGTGCAATTTGTAGTCTTCAAAATATTTATAAGTGCTTGTTTAAACCAAACTGCATGAGAAATCATGTTGTTACCTATTAATGTAGGAGAAAAAATCATCACAGAAGGTTCAGTCTGGTGAAAATTCAACCGTGCACATGATATTTTTAATTTGCACTCATGTGACATGAAAAATGCACCTGTTTTCAGCCAATTAGATGTGCATAATTTTTTAAATGTATATCATAGCAGATCAAAAATTGATTATTACAGTCTCCAGTGGGAGGCACTAGTTTAATTATTGTTGAAGTTTGTGTACAATAAATATTAAAATTGTAACCCTTTTCCCTATTTTCTGTTAGGTCGTTCAGATCTTTTGTCCCACTCCTCCTGTGCACTATGCCTGCTGTACAGATGTGGGCTTTGTGGGGAATCAGAAATGTCTGCACCAGTGACAGTAAGCACATCTCGATCTCAGATTGTTTGAACAGTGGCCTGGCACTGAAGAATTCAGACAGATGATGCATTTGATTTTGTATGGTAGACAACTGTCACAATCCCATTGAATGTTGCTGACACAAATTCCAACACCTTTCCCATATGAACATAGAAAAGATTAACCCTTCAACCTGCAATTTCTCCTTACAATATCGCCCCTGAGTCTCACATCAAGGTTTAGGAGCTGAGAAGAAAGGAGATGATCGCCAACAAAAGAAGCTCCCGATTTTTAACCTGATTGTCCTTGTCAGCACCTTTAGTTGCATGTCTTGCATTAGACAAACTTTAAAACTTTTGGCAAAATTTTTCAAGATTTGTAAGCTGTGATGTAGTCCCATTATGAGGATTACTTAACAGACAATTGACTCATCTCAAATCTAATCTTTTTTTGCAGTGCAACATTATGCCCCTCTTCTCTTTGATGTTGGAATCCTGGATATTTTTCAGAGAGTTTTAACAACATCACATAATGGAGTCAGAGAGCTGGCACAGAGGCTTTTAAATACTGTGGCCAACTTTAAGCCAAGTTAGAAAAAGAATAACTCTCAACTCTTTTGAAGAGACTCTCAATGACAACCTAATACTAGTTATAGTTCTCACTAGAGCTGCCCCCGCCCTACAGTACCATTTTCTTTTTTTTTTTTTTTGAGTTGGGCTTGTTGTTTACAGTTGTGTAATTTTTCTGTTATGCTGTTACGGAATTGCGGCTCAGTACTTTGGTGTTAGTAATTTTGGATCTCAAAATACTACAAGTGTACAAAATGTAGTTTTGGGAAGTGCTTGGGGTTTTTTTTTTTTTTTTTGCTGTGTGGTTTAACTTAGGATTTGTTTGTTCTTCACGATCAAGAAGAAGCAGAATGTAGGGACTTGGTTGAGTTTTAACATTGGAATGTTATAGGTGGCATTGGAGAACAATTTATAGACAGCATTGAAGAACAATTTATTATTATATAGTTATTAGACACAAAATTATACCTTAAGAGGGCCTACATTCTCTCTTCAGTCTTCCTCTATACTAGGAAAAATCTCGTGTCAAAGACGCCGATCCTAAAAG